GATGTTATGGCCATTAATCATGTTATAAAAATTGAAGGTAATTAGTGAGTTATCAAACAAGATAGATATAGCAGACACTGTGATCCAGAGACGGGCAATCGGGTAAAAGGTCCACTAGGCCTGTATCACTCACCTGTTATTCAATGCTCTGTTGGGCAACATTACACATCAGTGACTTTAAAAGTACATCAAGGTCAAATTATTTCAACAAAATAACAGCAAGCAAGCTAGCATTACAAGCTATATATACCATTAATCTACATTACAAGCTATATATACCATTAATCTACATTACAAGCTATATATACCATTAGTCTACATTGCCTGTATCTCGTTAGAAGTATTTGCCTTATTTTAATACATAACATTCAAAGAAAGTTATGCTCCAGACAAACCATTATTAACGCCCAGCCTGAGGCCCACCCAGATAATACCATAATGTGTCTCGTCATAGACAGGCCTATCAAAATGGTTGACAATTTCATTAAATTTTTGCAGAAATTCTTTGATATATTAGAATAATGACAACAAAATGTATCTACACGATAAATTTATTTCCTGATTCTTTACAATAAAATATAAATAGATTGTATAAGTGTTTTCTGTACCGTACACAGACAACATGATGTATTCTGCCTCAGACACTGAAGAATGATAAATATTCAAATACTGTCATACTTAGAAATTGAAAAAATAAAAATTGTCAACCATTCAACAGTTCCTGTTCTAAAATTCATAACACATTATCTACCTTCAGTGATTACAGAAGAGCAGACTTAAACTGAACAGTAAAATCTCAGAAATATTTGTCAGCATGTATCAACAACACAATAGCTGTTTTCGGAGAAAAAAACCTGTGATTGATTGTAAATCATGGGTTTGGAAAAAATTGAGCTAACAAGTATATATATACAAACTACATGACAGGAAATGATCTCCTGTATTGTATGTATTCCTGAACCCTAAAGCACAGCAAGACTTAATCATCAATCACAGATCATGTGTTAAAAGTTTAACAAAGGAGGCAGGCTAGCTGCTTTGTGGGCCATTTCTCGTATGTACAACTAGAATTGTGGGCACCAGAATGCTGCACAACTATAGCTGAATGGAAACATGCGTACAGAATTTGAAAAAGATCAGTCCTGTAATTTTTGAAAAGTAACAAAAACATTATTTGACATTAAAATCCAAAAATGGACACCTCTTATACTGTATCATTCTTCATATCTACAAACGAAAGCAATGTTGCACCACAAGGACTCCACAGTGAAACCTGTGTCGAAAATTTGAGAAAGATTTCTCCTGCACTTTTGATGAAATGAAGAATAAATAAAGGGATGAAACATGGATGAAAAAATATTTGAAAATCAGGAAACAAAATTTGGATTAAAACTTCAGGATTTGTGCACCAAGGTTTGGCTAAACTTTTTGTAAAAGGGGAATAACTCCCATAAAAATAACAAGATCAAAAACAAACAAAAATGCACTGGTGCACAACCTCAAAGTGTGCTGACTACATTAGTGGCGTTTCATGAAATATGAACAATAACTGAAGATGGAATTTCTAGGTGAAGTGTTGTCTGAACCTTCAGTTAGACGGACAGACTGATGACACAGAGAAGGAATTTATAAGTGAAGTGTTGTCAGAACCTTCAGTTAGATGGAGAGACATGACACAGAGAAGGAATTTCTAGGTAAAGTGTTGTCTGAACCTTCAGTTAGACAGAGAGACATAACACAGAGAAGGAATTCTAGGTGAAGTGTTGTCTGAACCTTAAGTTAGACATATAGACATGACATAGAGAAGGAATTTCTAGGTGAAGTGTTGTCTGAAGCTTCAGTTAAACAGAGAGACATGACACAGAGAAGGAATTTCTAGGTGAAGTGTTGTCTGAACCTTCAGTTAGACAGAGAGACATGACCTAGAGAAGGAATTTCTAGGTGAAGTGTTGTCTGAACCTTCAGTTAGACAGAGAGACACGACACAGACAAGGAAATTCTAGGTAAAGTGTTGTCTGAACCTTCAGTTAGACAGAGAAACACGACACAGACAAGGAATTTCTAGGTGAAGTGTTGTCTAAACCTTCAGTTAGACAGAGAGGCACGACACAGACAAGGAATTTCTAGGTGAGGTGTTGTCTAAACCTTCAGTTAGACAGAGAGGCACGACACAGACAAGGAATTTCTAGGTGAGGTGTTGTCTAAACCTTCAGTTAGACAGAGAGGCACGACACAGACAAGGAATTTCTAGGTGAAGTGTTGTCCGAACCTTCAGTTAGACAGAGAGAAATGACACAGAGAAGGAATTTCTAGGTGAAGTGTTGTCTAAACCTTCAGTTCGACAGAGAGACATGACACAGAGAAGGAATTTCTAGGTGAAGTGTTGTCTGAACCTTCAATTAGACGGAGAGACTGATGACACAGAGAAGGAACTTCTAGGTGAAGTGTTGTCTGAATCTTCAGTAAGATGGAGAGACTGCATGATGACACAGAGAAGGAATTTCTAGGTGATCAGTGTTGTCTGAACCTTCAGTTAGCAGAGAGACATGACACAGAGAAGGAATTTCTAGGTAAAGTACATGTTGTCTGAACTTAGCTAGATGGAGAGACATATAACACAGAGAAGGAATTTCTAGGTGAAGTGTTGTCTGAACCATTAGCTAGATGGAGAGACATGACAAAGAAAAGGAATTTCTAGGTGAAGTGTTGTCTGAACCTTCAGTTAGACAGAGAGACATGACAGAGAGAAGGAATTTCTAGGTGAAGTGTTGTCTGAACCTTTAGTTAGACAGAGAGACATGACACAGGGGAGGAATTTCTAGGTGAAGTATTGTCTGAAGCTTCAGCTAAACAGAGAGACATGACACAGAGAGGGAATTTCTAGGTGAAGTGTTGTCTGAACCTTCAGTTAGGCAGAGAGACATGACACAGAGAAGGAATTTCTAGGTAAAGTGTTGTCTGAACATTCAGTTAGACAGAGAGACATGACACAGAGAAGTAAAGTGTTGTCTGAACCTTCAGTTAGACAGAGAGGCTGATGACACAAAGAATAAATATCGAGGTGAAGTGTTGTCTGAACCTTCAGTTAGACAGAGAGACATTACACAGAGAAGGAATTTCTAGGTGAAGTGTTGTCTAAACCTTCAGTTAGACAGAGAGACATGACACAGAGAAGTAAAGTGTTGTCTGAACCTTCAGTTAGACAGAGAGGCTGATGACACAAAGAATAAATATCGAGGTGAAGTGTTGTCTGAACCTTCAGTTAGACAGAGAGGCTGATGACACAAAGAATAAATATCGAGGTGAAGTGTTGTCTGAACCTTCAGTTAGACAGAGAGACATTACACAGAGAAGGAATTTCTAGGTGAAGTGTTGTGAACCTTCAGTTAGGCAGAGAGACATGACACAGAGAAGGAATTTCTAGGTAAAGTGTTGTCTGAACCTTCAGTTAGACAGAGAGGCTGATGACACAAAGAATAAATATCGAGGTGAAGTGTTGTCTGAACCTTCAGTTAGACAGAGAGGCTGATGACACAAAGAATAAATATCGAGGTGAAGTGTTGTCTGAACCTTCAGTTAGACAGAGAGACATGACACAGAGAAGGAATTTCTAGGTGAAGTGTTGTCTGAACCTTTAGTTAGACAGAGAGACATGACACAGAGGAGGAATTTCTAGGTGAAGTATTGTCTGAAGCTTCAGCTAAACAGAGAGACATGACACAGAGAGGGAATTTCTAGGTGAAGTGTTGTCTGAACCTTCAGTTAGACAGAGAGACTGATGACACAAAGAATAAATATCGAGGTGAAGTGTTGTCTGAACCTTCAGTTAGACAGAGAGACATGACAAAGAAAGACAGGGAACCTTAGACCTGTAGACCCAACTTTTTATGTTCTGGGTACTTTAATTATTCAACTCAATAATTATGAACGATGGAGCCAAGAGGCCTGCATAGCTCACCTGCTTTGTAATAATATAACCCATATCTTCAATGTGATACATGTTTGTGCATTTCAAAAGAGCAAGTAATAATATAAACAGGCTGAGATCAGACAGAAAGTAGAAATGGAAGTTGAGGCTTATATATAAGGCCTGACATATCCTACATCGGCCATCCCTATATTGTACTCTAAATATACTTTTATGACTCAACTCATGCCTTGTGTATATCTAACTCCTATTACAAGGATGCTTTAAACCAAATTAGATTAAAATACATTAATTCTCCTGGTCTAAAGATCTGTTATACAATATTTAGGTTCAGATCCTGTTACTTGTACTAATTAAAGGAGTAGTATTTTAAAGACTTTCTGACCTACCAGTATTTAACCTACAGGACCCTGTCACAAGTGGAAACAAACCCTTCAGTTATATGAAATTTAGTCCCCATGAAGCAGATTCTTTACACCAAATAAGTTTATAATTCCTTCATCACTACTGAAGGAATAGGGTTTTCAAGATTTTCCCTATTTCCTATATTTGGCCCTACTCATTTATCCCCCATGGGGAAACCGAAGTGCCCCATTTGTTTGTAGTTTGGGCAACATCTTTCGTTTAAACAAAAGTAAGTCCATTGAATGGCCCTATTGGGATCATTTCTACCAAATTTGGTTAAAATCTCTTCCTTCATACCAAAGAGGTACAATTTTAAGCATTTAACCACAGAATTTCCCTAAAAGCTTTGTCCTTAGATCCGCTTATAAAATGTGTTCCTTTCAATTTACATGTATAATGCATAACGGCCAAGAGTAAGAATCAAATCCTTCAATTCTTCATGCTCTATTGAAATCCTAGTAGTAATCAAAATGAACTATGATAAATATATCTATGTTCCTGACCGATGACATTTTAATAGCTTAGTTCAGTAGATATCTGTTTATACCTAGAAAGCTCATAATTTGTCTGTATAGGATTTGCTGGTGTTAAACGTTTCACAATGGAGCGAAATCGTTTGTGTTGCTCTTCCATCGCTGTGACAAACGATGCGTAAAGAACAGCAAAAGCAGCCAGATTCCTCGGAGTTGTACCACAGGACTGTACACCGCACATGCTGCTGTTCAACCAATGGTTGCTAGGGAAGCAGACTGATCACCAATGACAGTAGAGTATGGAGTCACATCCAATACTGTCTTTATAGATCTACTAACACTTAGACATGCAGCCAGCTGTAGGTATGACCACAGTGCTGTACTGGAATACCAATAACTGCGAGTAGTGCCTGTGAGAGCTTGGAAGTGGGCAACACTGGTAGCAAACACTGCCTGGATTAAAGGGCCGGTGAGGTGAGTGGAGCTCACACAAGACACGCAGCCGCCAGTGGTCGCCATTGGTTTTACTTCTCAGGGCATCCGAGACTGGAGCAGGATATTACAGAACTTATAGTCCCTTTGGTGACAGGAATAATTACAACCTCCACGCTATTTAATATAAACTCTTACCTATTCCTTTAAAAAAAAAAATTGTCATCAAGTTTCTTCATAAGATCAAACAAACTGAAAAACATATGACAAAATTGAATTATTATTTTATTCAATTTTTCTAAACCATGAAACAATCTTATCATATTTGAAAGTGATAAATAATCCAGATTCTATAATCAGATAAAGGGTTCGACAGCGTGTCCACTACCTTTTAGAGACATCTTGTGTCACACGAGAAGCAGACCTAAGTTTATGAAACAGAACCTGTGCCACAACAAGCATGTCAACAAAGGATTAAAACGTTGTTTTGAATGTTATTTCTCATAAACTGCGGAATTGATCCGCAACTGAAGGACTAGGATAATCTGGGGACAAAATTGTTCTCCACACAAACGTAAGTAAACTCACACAGCTGTAGATACGAGAGATCTAGGCTCTTGATAACATTGTTTATATAGAATACATACATGTATAATATATGTCAGGATTTATTGATTTCTTAGTCATGTTACCATCATCACCAGAAATTAATTTCTAAATAACAATGTTCAATTATGCAATAACTCTGGGCTTATTTAACAACATTATGATTTCTGTATGCCAATGAAACTGTATATCTTGCAGCTGCTTCAAATAGACCTAAAAATCACAATCATATTATATATATGAATCAGATAGGGTTTATCTAAGATAAAACAAACTGAGCTAAAATCATCAAATTTTTCTCAGTGATTACTTTTTACTTTTATCAAACTGTGCAGAGAAAAACATTTAGCAATTCTAGCTTACCTAATATTTATAAAGGTATAACAATACCAATTCTAACCTAAGAAGTATTTGTATACTAATTTATGACAACAGTAAAAAGACGTATCATTTACTGTAAAAATTTCAGGATTCCGATATCACAACTATTTCAAATTATATGAAAGTAAGAATTCAAACTTACAAAACATTTTACCATTATATGTGATAAAATTTCAAAAATTCATAATATGACTTGTAAAACAATAGTAATTGTATGACAATTTTAACTGTATGGCAATATTCACTGTATGACAATGATCTGTAAAACAATATTCACTGTATGACAGTATGATCAGTAAAACAATATTCATTGTATGACAATATCATCAGTAAAACAATATTCACTGTATGACAATATGATCTGTAAAACAATATTTACTGTATGCCAATATGACTTGTAACACAATAGTAATTGTATGACAATTTTAACTGTATGACAATATTCACTGTATGACAATGATCTGTAAAACAATATTCACTGTATGACAATATGATCAGTAAAACAATATTCATTGTATGACAATATCATCAGTAAAACAATATTCACTGTATGACAATATGATCTGTAAAACAATATTCACTGTATGACAATATCATCAGTAAAACAACATTCACTGTTGATTATAACTCCTCATTGAAAGTCTTATTGTTTCATTGTCAGCAAGTGTAAGTAATTGTTATGTATCATATCGTACAACAATTGTCTTTCTCTTTTGTTACACTTGATCTAATTGATGTAACAAATTGAAAACAAAATAGATAATGAAGTTAAAAAGCTTTTTTTTTCAAAAAAATAATTTTTATACATTCTTCATTTAAGCACTGTGGAAACTCCTTTTTTGCTACTGTAAAAATATCTTTAAGCGGGATTTGCCTTTGTCATGTACATGTTAGCTTCCATTGCTCTTAAATCATTATCTAGTTCATAATTATTATTGACTCATTATATATAGCTCATAATTACTATTGACTTGTTATCTAGTTCGTAATTATTATTGACTCATTATCTAGTTCATAATTGCTATTGACTCATTATCTAGTTCATAATTGCTATTGACTCATTATCTAGTTCATAATTACTATTGACTCATTATCTAGTTCATAATGACTAATGGCTCATTATCTAATTCATAATTACTATTGACTCATTATCTAGTTCATAATTACTATTGACTCATTATCTAGTTCATAATTACTATTGACTCATTATCTAGTTCATAATTACTATTGACTCATTATCTAGTTCATAATTACTATTGACTCATTATCTAGTTCATAATTACTATTGACTCATTATCTAGTTCATAATTACTATTGACTCATTATCTAGTTCATAATTACTATTGACTCATTATCTAGTTCATAATTACTATTGACTCATTATCTAGTTCATAATTACTATTGACTCATTATCTAGTTCATAATTACTATTGACTCATTATCTAGTTCATAATTACTATTGACTCATTATCTAGTTCATAATTACTATTGACTCATTATCTAGTTCATAATTACTATTGACTCATTATCTAGTTCATAATTACTATTGACTCATTATCTAGTTCATAATTACTATTGACTCATTATCTAGTTCATAATTACTATTGACTCATTATCTAGTTCATAATTACTATTGACTCATTATCTAGTTCATAATTACTATTGACTCATTATCTAGTTCATAATTACTATTGACTCATTATCTAGTTCATAATTACTATTGACTCATTATCTAGTTCATAATTACTATTGACTCATTATCTAGTTCATAATTACTATTGACTCATTATCTAGTTCATAATTACTATTGACTCATTATCTAGTTCATAATTACTATTGACTCATTATCTAGTTCATAATTACTATTGACTCATTATCTAGTTCATAATTACTATTGACTCATTATCTAGTTCATAATTACTATTGACTCATTATCTAGTTCATAATTACTATTGACTCATTATCTAGTTCATAATTACTATTGACTCATTATCTAGTTCATAATTACTATTGACTCATTATCTAGTTCATAATTACTATTGACTCATTATCTAGTTCATAATTACTATTGACTCATTATCTAGTTCATAATTACTATTGACTCATTATCTAGTTCATAATTACTATTGACTCATTATCTAGTTCATAATTACTATTGACTCATTATCTAGTTCATAATTACTATTGACTCATTATCTAGTTCATAATTACTATTGACTCATTATCTAGTTCATAATTACTATTGACTCATTATCTAGTTCATAATTACTATTGACTCATTATCTAGTTCATAATTATTATTGACTCCTTATCTAGTTCATAATTACTATTGACTTGTTATCTAGTTCATAATAACTTTACTAGTGACTCATTATCTAGTTCATAATTACTATCGACTCATTATCTAGTTCATAATTACTATTGACTCGTTAAATAGTTCATAATTACTATTGACTCATTATCTAGTTCATATAATTACTATAGACTTGTTATCTAGTTCATAATTACTATTGACTTGTTATCTAGTTCATAATTACTATTGACTCATTATCTAGTTCATAATTACTATTGACTCATTATCTAGTTCATAATTACTATTGACTCATTATCTAGTTCATAATTACTGTTGAATCATTATATCCATGTAGCTCATGATTGCAATTTACAGTTATAGAGCTTATAATTGCTACTAGCTGACTCGTTAAATAGTTCATAATTGCTATTCACTTACTGGTTATAAAATCCATAATTGCTGATTACTTAATGATATATATTTTATCAACTGTTATAGCAATAGGAAACATAGTCAGTTGATTCTGCTTAAAAGAGAAGAGAAAGGACAGGATGTAGTTAGTGATATTGGGCGATTATTAGGTTGCTTACAGTACGTCAAAGAAGATGTACATCACTCTAGATAGCATATTTATTTGTGAGGTTTCCTTAAGTAAATGGCAACTGTCAGAATCCTTGGCAAACAATGGTAGCAGGAAGAAACCCGAGAAAAACATTGTTTATCTCTATCAGCCCCTTTTCTACCCATGACAATTATTTTTCACTAATCTACAAATTGTACGGTAAACCTGAATGTCACTTTGTATCTCACATTTGTCTTCCCCAAAAAATCTTTATGTACAGTAACACCAAAAATAATCCAGCAACCCCATGATGACAAATTGAATGAGATTTGTTCTGTCATGAAACCTCTTGTGGCAGTATAATTGTATAAGTGTTCCACGACCAATACCGATCTTCATGGTTACTCCGCTAAAACTTGGTAATTGTGAGCTGATTGAGTTACCTCGAGCAGGGTCTGGTACGATAAAGGCAGAATAGTGACAGTCCTTCGGCAGGAAGCCTTAAACAGTAACTACACAGGTCCACTTCCTTAATGTCTTACTGTTCTTTTAGACAATTTAGTCACTCAGAAAAATAGGTTTACCACATATTACTGGAGATATACTAACTTTCAGCACAAAATAACCATGGTCATTTTTTTAGGGTTTTTTCTCTTCTGAACTTCCATATGGGCACTGTATCAAGCTCATCACTTTCCAATTGGATACGGTGAAGTGGGAATAAAACTTATCACCTTCTTATGGAAGAAAATGAAGTAATATAGTGATAAAACAGCAATGACTTATTGAAGAAGTTCATTACATCTTTATTTTCTGTAAAATTATAACCCATCAACTTTTGTATGTTTCAATTAGCAGAAAGACTTTTAATTATTATCACTATTGTCTAAACAGGAATTTTGTACACTGTGTCAATGCAATGTTAGCATCAATTCAACATCATGTCAGCACAAGGTCAACATTAACCTTACTTTATGTCAGCACGAGGTCACCATTAACCTTACTTCATGTCAGCACGAGGTCACCATTAACCTTACTTCATGTCAGCACAAGGTCACCATTAACCTAACATCATGTCAACACAAGGTCACCCTTAACCTAACATCATGGCAACACCAGGTTACCATTAACCTTACTTTATGTCAGCACGAGGTCACTATTAACCTTACTTAATGTCAATACAAGGTCATGATTAACTTTAATTAATGTCAACACCAGGTCATGATTAACTTTACTTCATGTCAACACAAGGTCTCTATTAACCTTACTTAATGTCAATACAAGGTCATGGTTATCTTTACTTCATGTCAACACAAGGTCATGGTTAACTTTACTTCATGTCAACACAAGGTCACTATTAACTTTACTTAATGTCAACACAAGGTCATGATTAACTTTACTTCATGTCACCACAAGGTCACTATTAACCTTACTTAATGTCAACACAAGGTTATGATTAACTTTACTTAATGTCAACACCAGGTCATGATTAACTTTACTTCATGTCAACACAAGGTCACTATTAACCTTACTTAATGTCAACACAAGGTCATAGTTAACTTAACTTCATGTCAACACAAGGTCACTATTAACTTTACTTAATGTCAACACAAGGTCATGATTAAATTTACTTCATTTCAACACAAGGTCACTATTAACCTTACTTAATGTCAACACAAGGTCATGGTTAACTTTACTTCATTTCAACACAAGATCACTATTAACCTTACTT